TTAATTTACACCAACACAGGATCCAATTCTGTTTTGAGATACCTCTGTGTATCTTCCACTGAAGTTAATAGAGACCATATGTGAATTTCTGAGGAACTGGGAACACTAGATGGTACCTAAAAAGAAATATTGAAGTATGAAACAACTCTGAGCATTTAATAAAACAGGATATACTCACTGGAGGCCCAAGAAGTCTTTCAATTCCAGTAAAGTTAAAAATTCCGTCTGTATTGTTCAGTGGTAGCTAAAAATGTGGATAAGGAACAGGTTATATGAATTATTAAATTGGTTCTCTGGAAGAGATATGAATTCTAGATATACACAGGCAAGCTCAAAATATCCTATTATAACTGTATGGACCGAAAATACAGAACAAACTATTAGAAACTCTCCTTGAGTTTTTATTTTTCTATTGTGTGCCTGGAATGACATTACTTGGCACTTTTACTAGGCTTTGTGTGAAATGACCTCAGAGTGCTTTACAAACTTCAATGAGCTGAGTCTCATAATTCCTTCCTTGAGGTATGAATCTCAATTTTGCAGATGAGGAAACTAATATAAACAGGGTGTGACCTGAGATCATTCTTTCTTAGTAGAATGAAGATCAGAATAAATTATTTAGATGCCAGCACTTCAAAAGCATTCTGTGAGCATGCCAGCATCTGACTTGCACGCATCTCATTGTAGAACCGAGGTCATGATGCCATACTGTTCATATTTCATTTTGGTTTTTATCACTGTTGTTTTCTGCTTTAAATAGTTTCCCCCATATTATATAACAGGGGTGGCCAACTTGCAGCACCCATGCCACAAGTGGCATGGGCAGCCTTTCTATGTGGCATGCAGCAGACTGGGGAGGGGACCGGCATCATAGCAGCAGATAGGGCAGGAACTAGAAAGCAGAGCATCAGATATAGTGCACAGGGGAGCACAGGGCTAGGAACAGAACACAGGGCAACAGATTAAGCAGGAAAAAGTGCAGAGATTATTTGTGGCATGCCTGCCAAAAAAAACCTAATCCCCACTATCATAAACCACAGCTATAGAATCACAGAATTGAAAGACTGGAAGGGACCTGCAAGATCATCAAGTCCAGTCCCCTGCAATGGGTGAGAGGTTATTGGGCTCAAACGAGCTCAACAAGGTGCTTATCCAGCCTCATCTTGAACACCTCCAAGGATGGCGACTGCACCACCTTGGCTGGGAGGGTGTTTCAGATTCTGGTAACCCTTACAGAAAAAAAGTTTTTTCTTATGTCCAGGCTAAGTCTTCCCTCTATTAGCTTGTGCCCATTGGTCCTCGTCCTCCCTTGAGGAGCCTTCCTGAAAAGTTGCTCCCCTTGATCTTGATGCTCACCCCTAATATACTTGTAGGAGGCTACCAAGTCACCTCTGAGTCTTCTCTTATTCAGAGTGAACAGACACATTTCCCAAAGTTTCTCTTCATAGGGCCTATCCTCCAGGCCCCTATTTTGACATACTGTATGGCAAAATGGTGAGAGTTTGGCTTTCATTAACTATATGCATACATCTTTTAAAACACTCATCCTTCTTCAGTTTTCATCAACTGGTTAGTTTCTTTTACTTTCATACTGATAGTCTCACTTGTTGCACAACAATTTAGTTTCCTGTTGATCTCAGCACTGCTTGCATCGGCACCCTTACAGGCTTAAATCTGTCTGTTTTATTGGGCAAGTCATTCTGCCCATGCCAGTATCCAACTGTGCATGTGTGTGCGCCATGCTCCTAGTGAATTCAGTATCCTATTGGATGGGTGCAGGATAAGCCCTTATCCTCACAGTGCATTTGGTACTTAAGTGTGCTGCCACCAGAATATTGCGGAAAATGTGAGCCCCATTAATGCAATAAGGTATGGTATGGTATCTAGCACCATACCAATAAAACATGGAACCATCATCCTTTGCCACCGTGGCTTGCAAATATACAACAGTGTTTACAAAATGGATATTTCCAGGAGGGAACAACAACAGAAAGACTTGCTTGTAGTAGGACACCAATGATCATCTTTCTCAACTCAGGTCTGATGCATAAAATGAAGAAGGCACATTTCCAGTTAATTCCATTCCAAGTATTCTGAATCAAAAAAGGTTCTTATTTTTTTCTGGATGCCATTACATGGTTCCTTCCTTCATTTGGCACAATATTTTGAAACTTGAATGTCAACAATTAGAAGCTGAAATCCAGGGGTATAACTAACAAGTTCTGTGTCCTGGGCAAAACTCTACCAAAGAGCAGAGTGGGAGGCCAGTCTTACCTGCTTCAGAGAAGACTCCAGCTTTTCCTGCCAGTTTAATGTTTGCACTCTCTCTCTCCCCCCACCTCAGCTGTTGCTGCTGCTGAAGCAGCAGCTGCTAGAGCAGCACAGTGTCCCTACATCCAGCTGCTACTGCAGCAACACGGGGCTGCCACTGCAGTGACAACTCCCCAGGGAACCACCATTCCCTTTAAGTTAGCTGAAGCTAATGCCCTACTTTAGCCACTTCTAGTTATGCTAATGCTGAAATCTGCGTGCAGATATACAGACCCCCATTTAGGTCCCTAGGGCAGTACTCGTCCCCCAAAACAGGAGAAGGGGCAGATCATTTGTACATTTTCTGCAGCATGAATCTTGGTGGAGTGGGATCATACTGGTTCCACACTCTAGGTTCTGTACGACTGTAATAAAAGCATTTTGCTGTTGCAATGCTCTGCTCTATCTGTAGCTGATGCCAGAATTCCAGAGCTCTGCATTTGAACATTCCTTTGAATATGGATTTACTCTGCATTTTACCATTCATTTTGGACCCAACCCAAATCAAAGGAAAAAGACTCCTATTGCCCTCAACAAGCTTTTGACCAGTATTTGTATATTTTGCCCAGCCATTGTATGCTGTGTAAATAATCTTAACCTTCAAATACAAGCCAAAGCTGTGGGTTAGGAAAGCACCATTTTAAGCAAGGCTACAATATATAAAAATGAAAGCAGGCTACTGGCTCTTCACTCTGTCCAAGAATAGTCATTTGCCTTAATTTTTGTTTTTAGGAGCTTTACCAGTAATGATATAGCAACATAACTGCTTGGAATTTCATGTAGCTTTATGAGAGACAAAATGCTAAACAGAAAAAACCTGGCCAAAACATGGCAATATGTCTATATTTTACATTCTTTTCATTGAGAGGGGTAGCATCTGAAAGACTAGGCTGTTGCCTACACAGGCTCTCTGAATCAGTTTAGTATCTAAAATGCTATCCTACCTTGCCTCCTGCCATTATTTTTATTGATATACTGAAGAAGAAACAGTACTGTTAGCATAGCTAGCTAAATGGATTTCTGCACACTATGCATAGACTTTTCAGCTTCCCATCCAAAAGCCATTAAAAGCTGGAGGCAGAATTGCAGAAAGCATACAAATTATACAAAATTACATACATTTACTTTACATGTCAGAAATCAGAATAGTTCCAGGTCTTCCTATCGTATCTTGTATATTAAAAATGGGAATTTAGTGAAAGCAAATGAAATTATATTAGTTGCTTTCCCTTATTTCTATTCAGTTTTCTCTTCGAGGAAAAAGAAAAAGATTTCTATACAGCACCTACTTATAGCTGTTCAGTGAAAAAGCAAAAAGCGCAAACAAGCCAGAAAAGATTAATATGATTTACTGACTCTTCAAAATGACCTGAAGAGCTCATAAAACCCCTCAGAGCAGAACAGCCAAAGGTACTTCATATTTGCACATTTTGACAATGAACTAAGAGAAGTTTCTTTTGCATGGAACAGAGCAGGGAAGACTGCGGCTTGGTAACTCAGAGAAATAGAAAAAGAAAGGAGTATGTGTGTGGACGGGTGTGGGGTTTGTGGAGGTATGTAGGGTTTATGAGCGTGTCTGGGGGAGGCATGGGGGTGGGGTTTGTGGGCAGGTATGGGGGTGTGTGCGGTTGGGTGTAGGGTTTGTGAGGGGCATAGGATTTGTGGGTGTGTGTGTATGCAGGTGGAGATTGTGGGGGATCTGTGGGGCAGGGGGGAGTGTGTGTGGATGTGGGGTTTGTGGAGGGTCGTGCAGCCCTCCATCACATGGCCCTCCCCCACCCCATGGCACACAGTCCCTACTGCTGGTGTCAGCAGCAGCAGGAAAAGCTGGAGGGCCCTCAGGGTGCTCATGGCCTGTAACTGGCAGAGCTTTCCAGTGGTGTGCGGTTCCAACTGAGTCCTGGGGGCTGCATGTGGTGGCATGGAGTCAGCTCAGCCCTCTGGCACACACCTTCAACCTAAACCAAGCTGGCTCTGTGCCAACACATGGGGCTTGTACTACAGGTGGGAGCCACATGACAGCGGGCCTGGCTGAGCTGCGCCAGCTCTTTGCTTTCACATGGGGCTTCCAGCACTCCAGTGGGAAGCCACATGTGGCAGCATGGAGCCCACCTGGCGTGATGGTGCACCACTCCCTGTGGCTCCTGGTCCACATGCTATCAGGCTGGGCAGGCTCCGGCCACTACATAGGGCTCCCAGCACTGCAGCCAGGAGCGTGTGCTGCTGGGCCGAGCCAGGCTGCTCTGTGTCACCATGTGCAGCCCCTGGAACTTAGCCAGAGCCATGTTCTGCCAGGGGAGCTCTGACTATTGTGCACTATGAGTGCCCCAAGGACTAGCTGCCTGCTGCTGTTGGCAGCATGGGCTGTGCGCCACTGAGGCACAGAGGGCCCACACCCCTCCACAAACCCTCCCATCCACACCCACCCACAAACCCACCCCCACACACACACACCTCCATGAACCCCACACCTACCAACACACACTCCCCATACCCACCCACACACATGCATGTCATCAGGCTGGGCAGGCTCCCTGCCGCCATGTTCAGCTCCTGGTACTGCAGGCAGGAGCTCCCCTCCCCAGACACCAGCTGTCCAGTCACCCACCATCGCGCTTGATGCCTCCACATGGGGCTCCCAACTGGAATACCAGGAGCCCCACAGAGGTGGAGATACAGAGCCCTCCAAGTCCGGTGGACCTTGACCTCTGAAAGCCTGTGCCTCCCGCTGGTTTTCGGAGGGGCAGTTGCAGGCTAGATAATTGGTAATTGTTTTTTGGAGGGGCCCTGCAGGCTAGATAGAATGGTTTGGAGAGCCAGATCTGGCCCAAAGATCGTATTTTGCCCATCCCTGGCCTAGCTCCTACAATTAAAATTGTTTGGCTCTGAGGCTGTGCCATCCTGAGATGATAAGCCTTTTCAGCTGAAGATATCTATCCAACATCCTATCCTAAGAAGAATGCCAACTGTGTTAGGCTGTCCTGAGTGAATGAATTACTTCACAGTTAGGGCGGCTAGGAGCTGGAACCAACTTCCAAGGGAGGTGGTGCTGGCCCCTACCCTGGGGGTCTTTAAGAAGAGGCTGGATGCCTACCTGGCTGGACTCATTTGAGTCCCGTTTTTGTTTTTAGGGTTTTTTGTTGTTCTCCCGCCCTGGCGGGGGGTCGGGCTAGAAGATCTAATAGGTCCCTTCCGACCCTAAAACTATGAAACTATGAAACTATGAATTCTCTGTGGCCATTCACAGCTCCTTCATTTCCCAGTACAAGTGATCATAGATTTATATGATTTCACAGAATCATAGATTTTCTGGTCATATCTTAAATGAATCAACTGGGAGAGATGCTAGACAAGCTTTTGAAGACCTGAGAAGCTTGCTTTTCTTTGCACCAGCACAGCTACAAGAACACTCCAATCCCAGTTCCAAATATCATATCAGATTGAATGCACAGGGTTTTTTAAATTTAGATTGAAGTTTGATGTGTCCAAACCTTCAAGCTCCTTTGTTTGTATTCATACTATTCATAAACAGAAAGGCTAACATACAAAATAAAACCCTACAGCAAGTGTATGTGTTGCTAAAAGATGTGTAGTTCTTTGTATCATCTTCTAGCAGCATGCACTTTGATGCAGGCAGATGCTGCCTTGGTAATAGGGCTAGTCTTCTGGTTTGTATGACAGACTGCACAGTGAAGTCCAGCCAAAGCTGCCATGTTCTTCTGTGTACTGCCAGGTCACCGGTTACCCAACTCATCAAACTTCCTCTGTTGCTTCTTTTTCTTAGTTCTTCTTCAACTTTGATGGCTCAAGCAGAATCAAATCAATCAACATTCCCCTCCACCTCCCACCCCCACCCCAACATTGTTAAAGTCTATGCTCATTTCTGTATTTTTCATTCTTTAAAAGACCATTTTTGTCCTGATTCTACGTATAACTATAGCTATATGGTGTGTAGATTTTTATCTTTTTGGGGCAGGCAGATAGCACCAGAACAGGCACCTTAACTGCTATGTGGCACCAAATGCCTTTGATGCCTTCTCACTTCATGAAGATACTTACCTCCGGAATTGCTATGATTGGTCCTGGTGGTCCTGGTAAACCTGGCGGTCCCACAATACTGGCACCATCCTGTCCTGGCTCACCCTATATCCACCGGATTATAGATGGAAAAACCATTTGTTAAACACAAATAGATAGCTAGTAACATAGGCAGACAAGGTTCTTTGGGTAAATCCAATATCTTTTATTAGACCAAGTCAAATAGTTTGAAAAATTCTTCTTTTATTCTTGCAAAAATTTTTTCCAACCATTTGAGTTGGTCTAATACAAGATATTGGATTTACCCAAAGAACCCTGTCTGCCTATGTCCTTAGACCAACAACCTACACCCCTGCACAACTGCAACATACACCCCTGAAACACAGTGAATAACATGAAACTCCATCCCATTTTACCTTGGGTCCTGTGTCTCCTTTTTCCCCTTTTGGACCCTGCACACAATAAAAAGTAGCTTTTAAGTAAGTAAAGTAAATTTAACGCTTTTAAGTAAGTAAAATAATTAAGTAATCATTTAAAAAGAAAACTGAAAATACCCTTGCTTCCCTCCAAATGCACAAAGAATAATGTTCATGAGACCACAGAAATGCATGGACGATTCTGACAACTTAAGTGGGTTTCGATCAGGCTGTAAATGGATATATTTTTTTTAAAGTTTGCAATTGTTTTTTATTTATTTTGTTTGCATATTAACCAGTACACATTTGGCATTGTTCTAATGTGACAAAGGGCTAAAACAGTGGTGCTCAACCTTTTTGGCTGGAGGGCCAGACGAGTGGTTGCTCTGTATGCTGGATCTGGCTGGTGGACCCAGCAAATTTCCCAACCTGTGGGGAGCCCTGTGGGCCAGATTCCAAGGCTCCACAGGCCATATATGGCCCACGGGCCAGAGATTGAGCATCCTTGGGCTAAAAGAACTATTGGCAACTGATCTGCAACATTTCACTTAATCCTCCGGGGTAATTAAGTAAAAAATCCACATAAAAGCCTCTAAATATCTGTCGGCTCCTATTTTTTTCTCCACTTCTAATTAAAAATGGCAATTTATTTCAAAACGTGTACAAAGCAAAAGAGCGTTCACAGGCAGAGAGCTCCTGTGCCAAGTTTCAATCTGGAGGAGATTAATTATTCATTTACATTTGATGTTCTTAAAAATAATGGTGCTAACAGGTTTCTGTAGAAGTTGGCACTTACCAGGAGGTTTGAATCTGAGTGTTAAATATTTCATTTACATCAGGAAATCCCAAATTTCTTTGTAGAGTGAACTGTAGATTCAGAATTCCAAATTAAGTTGTGGAGAGCTCTCTTCTTATTGCTTATTGCAGTGGGGGCCAATGGTTTTGGTAGATGTGCCACATATAAACCATGCACCTGCCCCAAGTGCCACTCTGATTCCCTTCTTCTGCCCCGTCTGCTGCTCTGTTATCTGCTCCCTGCCCCGTGTTCCCTTTCCAGTCTGCTGCTCTGCTTCCTGCCCTGCCTGCTGCTGTGTTGCCTGTCCCCCCGCCAGTCTGCAATATGTTACACACACAGGATACCTGTGTCACTTGTGGCACACATGCTGCAGATTGGCCACCCCAGCTTTATCACTGTGGCAACTGCCATTTACATGGCAAAGCAATATCAGGGAAGTGCTCAGCTTCTCTTCTGGGATGTAGTAATTGGCAAAATGAATGAAAGCTAGTGCAATGTGACCAGCCACTTTCCCCTAAACCAACAGTAAGTGCTCTGGGGCTCACTGGTGGCCTCTGGACCAAAGACTGGGCATTTCACTGCACACAGAACAAGCAGGGTAACACCACTCACTTCATCTCCAGGGCGTCCAGAAACACCAGGAAATCCAGGTTTTCCACTTGCACCTTGTATTCCCTGTCAAAGCAGAATCACATTTTCCATTATTCACTATATATTGCATTAAATCTAGTTTAATGCAGCAGATACATTATCCTATCCGATTTCTTGAAAGTTGGTCAGTTACTCCATGGGAAAGTTTTAAAAATCACAGTTACCAAACATAACATGGTTTGCTCACAGAAAAATGAGTTTTAAAAGGTCTACTAATTACTAGCGATGAAAACAATAGATATGCAAAGACCGAACTTATGTTTGGCTGCAGTGTTTTGAAGGGACACAAAAGAACTGCAGTGCAAGTCCTCCAGCAAGATGTACTGCTCCAAGTGGCTGTGTTGATTCAACTTAGTTTTGTTTCTAGAAGGCATTTTTGAACATTTACAATAAAATGCTCCAACTTTCTAAAAGAGAAACAGTAAACATTGACCCTGGATGCAGTTGTTATCCTGGATTGTTTAAGCTACATAGGAATCTATGAGTGATAGTTTACAAGATTTAAAATCCTGACTTCTCCTTTAAAGCGGCAATAATATGAATAGAATTGATGTTTCTGCTTCATTAGGAAAGGATTCTCTACACCTTTGTGTCATCTCAGGTTTTCTCTGCCATCTGCAGAGTGTGTTATAGAAGAACAAATTAGAACTTTTATAACAGTGTAAAAATTGTAAAGCACCTAAATCTTACTTTCAAAAGTCAACAGGATGCAGGCTCCTTGGAGCCAGCTGATGTTTGACCTATGGTGTGGTGGTTCTAGTGCTGGGTTGGGAAATTAGAAACACCCTCTACATGATGGGGAAAACCTGGAACGAAGGTCCTTTGGCTTTGCAGGCAGGAAACCAAACTACTGAGCTCTTTAGGGGAAAAAGGGCTCCTTTTCTTCCTTGAAGCCCTCTTCTGATTTTGAATAGGCAGTTTGTTAGGTACATGAATTCACCATGGTTTAAGCTCTAGGAGGACCAGGTACCTTCAACAATTGTTTTATTACTGAAGTAAAAACAAACTGTTTTTGATGCCTTAGTTTTTATTGCCAATACACATGCCCAGTCTGAGCACATAGATGACTATTAGGGCTGTGCAAAGCTTCAGGTGCTGATTCGATTCAGAACAGATTCGGCCTGATTCGGTGGCTGAATCTCCAAATCCGAATCAAATCAGAGGGCTAATAAAAAGGTCTGAATCGATTCGAAGCTCTCTGAATTGATTTGAAAAAGATTCGGAGAGCTTCGATGATTTGGGCGGTCCCCGCTGACTGCAGCAAGGAGCTAGAGCTGGACTCAGAGCTGGTAAGTAGTGGGTGGGGACCGTGGGGGGAACCCTGCCAGGATCCATCCACTGCCTGCTCCCCCAGCCCCACCATGGCTGCCCTGCCTGCCCCAGCTCCCAGTGCTTTAAAGAAAACCCCCCACTCACTGCGTGATGCCCAGCAGGGGGGGGCAATTTCTGTTGCCCCCCACTGCCCCGTGCTGCATGGGGGGCTCTGCATGAGCCCCCCGACCCCTTCACTCTCTCAGCCCCACCCCCACAGCTGCCCCACCTGGCCCAGCTCTGGCTCTTTAAGAAAAAAACCCAAAAAACCAAACAAAACCCTGAGCTCACTGGCTCCTGCAGTGGCCTTGAGGCTTCAGGGGGCCTCATGGAAGAGCCTCCCATATGGCATGGGGCAGCAGGGGGCAGTGGGGATTACCCCCCGCCGGGCAGGAACCGGTGAATCAGGGTTTTTTGGTGTTTTTTTCTTAAAGGGAAAGGACTGGAGCTGGGCCAGGTGGGGCAACCATGGTGGGGACTGGGGGAGCAGGCAGGGGTTGGGGGGCTCATGCAGAGTCCCCCACATGGCACAGAGTAGTGGGGGGCAGCAGGGATTGTCCCCCCACCTGGCAGCACCCACTGAGTCAGGGTATTTTTTTTCAAACTGCCAGGAGCTGGGGCGAGCAGGGCAGCCATTGCCGGAGCTAGAAGAGTGGGTGGGGGATGAGCCTGTGTGATTCAGAGATTCGGCAGTAGCTGAATCTCCAAATCAGATTCAGCTGAATTGATTTGGGACAATGATTCGAATCACTGTCCCCCGAATCGGCCTAATCTGAATCCGAAGCGAATACTAGCTGCTTCGCACAGGCCTAATGACTATGTGCACAAACAGGCTTATGCATCCAGGAATAGAGTTTCTATCTATCTGAGGCACAGGTGTCCTTTTTGGCACTTAGACAACCAGAAATGCCATGTAGACACCTAAATCTGGACACCTGGATGACTAGAAAGGGAACAGAATACCATTCCTAGTTGAATACTTTATCCATTGTCTTTAAGTAACCACACCAGGTAAATTTCTCTACAATGGCATCTACAGATGTGGTAAAGCTTTAGCAAGCTATGAGTGATCATGAACCTGAAGCCCAATTCATGTTTTCCTTCCATTTGTGACTGAAATACATTTCATATCTAGACATCCCAAAGAGCTCTGCATGGACAAACTGTGCAGAGATATTGGTGGAGGGAATCTAAACACGACCCTCCTGAACCAGGATGCAAGGCTACCACATGGCTCCTTCTGGGTTAGTAGACCTGTGTTACCCTTCCATCTTATTTGTGGACAGTAGTTTATGTCTCTGACCCTCTGTAATAACAGATCTCAAGGACCTCTCCTGATCTCCCTTCCATCTGCATTAGCTTATGGAAGTTGCTCAGGTCTCCTTTCACAGCTTGCAGGATTTTATTTAGTAGGGCCAGATATTATTCCACTTTGTAAGTGAAACTATGATTCTATTACATTCTGCTTGAGTCCCTGAAAAAAAGCTAATGCAAAAGATGAGGGGTCCTTTTCCTTCTTGCTGCTTTTTTATAACTCAGTCTTAAGGGTTAGAAAATGGTGTGTTACAGAAGTAGGTGCATTATTGGCAGGGTCGACCTTAGGGGGGTGCAGGGCCTGGGGCAAATCAGCCTGTGCGGAGCCCCCTTAGCACTGCGTGGTGCCCATTGCACCCCTGCAAAGGCAGGGCACAGGTGGGGGGAGTCTCTACGCTTCTTCTGTGGTGTGGGGCAGAGCCACCAGCACCAGGCAGGCCCCATGGGAGGGGTCATGGCCGCCCCACCCAGGATAAATCAGCCTAGGCAGGGCCCCCTTAACACTGTGTGGGGCCTGTGTCTCCCCCACGCCCAGGGGGGCTGGTCTCCACGTGTCTTCTGCAGCGTGGGGCAGAGCCGTCACCACCAGGTCGGCCCCTGTGGGAGGGACCGTGGCCGCACCACCCAGCTCTGCGGGGTCCCTCATAGTGCGGGGCCCAAGGCAGTTGACCTGGTTTGCTGTACCCTAGAGACAGTCCTGACTACTGGACTTCTGGAACAGAAACTGGCTCTGGGTGTTCAAGGTACTATGCAGATATATGGTGCTGCTTCATCAGTGACTCTCACCCTGTGGCCAGTTCCAAAGCTGGTATAGCACAGAGAGCTTTGGGAGACCCCCACAACCAGGTGACTTTCATTCAAACACAGATCATACATGCCTTCTGCACATTGCTCCACTTGCTGCAAATTCACTTTGATGCTGCTAATGCTAAACAATTTCACTTTCCTACTAGTGGGAAAGGAAGACCTGGCTTTAGCAAAAATCATTAAAATATAATGTCAAATATTACAGTGAGGTCACTTCTCCTCTTTAACACTCTTCATATTCACCACCAATAAATCTTAACATTCTACACATCGTTTCTCTTTTGAAGCTATCACTGTTCAGTAAACACTGGCCAAGCCTTTTTAATTCTGCTTGACTGCAGAGCACTTGAATAGTACTTTGTGCATCTGCACTGAAACCCTGGACATGTGCTTTTGAGCTAGCCCACCTGCCCTATCCCACTCACATACACCCAACCTGAAAATACAGTAGTGAAGCGGGACATGCTGAGGAAGGCCCCCAGCATTGCCAAGGACACAGTCTTGCCACCTCCAGTGAGTTCTTATAAACAGAGGAGCAAGCCGTCTTCTGATTTTGAACAGTCAGTGACTGTTCAAAAATCAGAAGAGGACTTGCTCCTGAATTCACCATGGTTTAACTCTAGGAGGGCCAGGTACCTTCAATGATTGTTTTTTATTTTTATTATTGAAGTACAAACAAACTATGGTACCTTGCTTTTTTAAACAGTGTTGTTATTACCTATTTATGACAGACAGACAGACAGACAGACTTTAGAAATGTGCTTTTATAATGTGTTTACCACAACAGCATACATTGTAGAACAGTGGTGCTCAACTTCTGTCCTGTGGGCCAGATACGGCACATGGGGCTTCCCACAGGTGCAGATCTAGTGTGTGGGCCTGGGCCAATGCACTAGATTGAACCTATGGACAGACCCTGTGAGCTGACCCCATTCTGGATCTGGCCAATAGACCAACCTCACATGTGGGACCTAGCCTACAGACCAGTCCTGTGCCCTTCATCCAGCCCATTTGGCTAGAAGTCCTACCATCGTAGAATAAGAATTAGCAAAATTAGGACCACAAAGTAGAACATTTTCTTTATGCAACTTATGCAAAAAAAATCAGCATCCTGAAGACATAAAAGAGCTTGAAGCAACTTTCCTTTGCATCAATGTATTATCTTTAATTATCATGTAGACAGGTGTCTTGGTTAAATGATGGAACTCAAAATATGTAGAGCAGATGGAATTTATAACAAGCAGCAGCCCACTGCATTATGTTTTTAAATTAAACAAGCATATGCTGTGATAAAATTCTTATAAATGTTCAGCAAACAGAGGGCTAGATTCATTGTTGCTGTAATATAGCTTACATTACTATAACCCTTTTGATGATACTGGACTTACACCAATGCACAATTGAAATAAACTGGTGGTGAATTAGGCCCAGAATATTTTTAAAAAGAAGTATCAAGAAATCACACAGTTTGCTGACATCTATGATTCAACTCAGTGGCAGCGTCTACATGAGGCATTGAGTGAGCAGTAGCTTCATGTGACACAAGACATGATGCAATGCTACTGTGCAGTAGTAATGAGCTACTGCGCAGTCAGCACCACCAAGAAACCATTCAGGAATGCTATTGTGTAGTAATGCCAGTTACTGTGCATTCATTTGGTACTTGTGTATTCAAGTACAGGTTTCTCTTGCTTTATGCAGGTTCTGTATGTGCAAATTCACTCTTATGTGATGACCCTTTTTGTACCAAAAATTTGTTATATGCAAATTTGAGTTTTGCGCTGTTTTCCAGGAACGCATGTATAGCATAAAGTGAGGGAAAGCTGTACTAAATGACTAAGCAGTAGCAACTGTGCAGTCAGCATCTCATGTAGACACTATCAGTTTTGCAGACAGCTCCCCTCTCTTTGATCTTGGAATTCTCTAAATGAAAGAAAAGTTTCCACCGTTGTTTTCAAGCAGAAAGAGCACACAATAAACTACGTAGAGAAAATAACAAAATTATGATTCAAGTCAGATGAATTTCCTACCTTTAAACCTGTCAAGCCTGGTGGACCAGCATCACCTTTTTCTCCCTGAAACAGATATACAGCAAAGATTATGGTAAGTAATACCTCAGAACGATTACAGGAATTCAAACAAGTGCATCCCTTTGTTTGGAAAGAAAGGATTAAATCAGCACAAATTTGCTCCAGTTTTAGGTTTGTGCAAGTCCCATGATCTGTAATAAGTTTACTGAAAATCTTTTCAACTTCTTTTTCTCAGGATTACTTCTGTTCACATATATATGAGACTTATAGATGTTACTGCTTTTGGTGGAAAAATCATTTTTCATTAGACAGGCTTTGCCCACTTACAACACTTGTGGCAAAAGCAGGCAGACATTTATATTAGACAAACAGGCTGGATATATGACATCCCTCTAGATCTCAATCAAAGTCAGATCAAGTTTTTATTGCTATTGGTACCATGTAGTGACAATGGTTGAGCACCATGGTTGAGCTGTTGGTGACTCAGCTGGCTAACAGAAACACTAGCACTGTTAGTCAAAGAAAAGGTGGAGGGCAGGTCCAACCTGGCAAATAGCTTAACTTCTGTGGAACCACTATTGCTACTGAGAGAAAACACTGCAACAGTAGTAACAATAGGAATAGGTGATAGGCGCTGAATGATGAATTCCCTAGGTTAGATCATCTCCCAAACATGACCAAGAAGATAACACTCTTGGGGCTTATTTGGGGCACACCATATGATGCCACAATGTCAAATGTGTGCCTGATAATCCTGAGCATAATACAAGGGGACTCTGGCTAAGGAAAACAATAAATATCACAGCATGGAATGTAAGAATGTACAAATGTAAAGGACAGCAGCAGAATTATTATGTGGGGCTCCAGAAAATCTGACTTCAACAAACTCAGGAAACTGGTAGGCAGAATTCCCTAGAAGGCAAGTCTGAGGGGAAAAAAGAGTCCATGGGAGTGAACTTAGGTTCACAGAAGCATGTGCTCCATATATGTATCTTACTTAGTTAGTCTACAAAGGTGCATATCTGCCATGTCTTTTGTGCCTTGAGGAAGCCATTGGAAAGGCACAAAATCAGGCTATCCTAAAGGGAAAAAAAGGTAGAAAGCTTGCTTGCATGTGTCTTTATAGTGAAGTTTGGGGTGTCCTGTTGTTCTTGTTCCCTCCAATAATTCCCCATATAGCATGTCCTTGGGTATATGTCCATCTTACAATCATGTCCGTCTTCCAATCTACTCAGATGGCCTAGCCTTTTTTAAAGAGTTTACCCCTTCTGGGTACACTTCTGGTGGAGTGGTGGGGTGGGAGTGGGAGGAGGTGGGGGGGCAGAGGTCAGACATGCAGTGGGGGGGGTAGCAGTGGTCAGATGTGGAGCGAAGGGGGAGGTGGCAGTGGCCAGACACAGAGCAGGGGTGGGGGGCGTGCTCCATCCCCACCCATTCACATGTACCCCCTAGTCCCTTTCCAAGTACCCTTGGTTGACAACCCCTAGCCTAGCCAGTGCAGTCGTCTCTGAGTAGAGCTGTCACGCTTGGCAATTGGCCTTTGAAGAACCTCTGCGTTGGTAACTTTATCTTGCCATTTGATGTTGAGTATGTGGCATAAACGGCTCAGGTGGAAGCTGTTTAACCTTTTCTCTTGATGTGCATAAGCTGTCCATGTTTCCCCACCATACATGAGAGTGCTGAGCTCACAAGCTTTGTACACTGGCATTTAGGTCTTGATGATAAGCTTTGAGTTGTTCCATGCTCTTTTAGTTAGTCTGCTGAAGGTGGTAGCAGCCTTTCATCCAGTGAAAGGTTAGTGGTCACTATAGAATCTAGGTAGCTGAACTTTTGGACTACTTCTAACTAGTTCTCATTAAGGGTGATTGACGGATCTTGTGGAACTCCTTGTCTTAGTACAACTTTTCCCTTTATGCTGATAGTGGGAGCAAATGTCTGACAAGCTCTTGAAAGGTGATCCATGACTTCTTGTAGTAGGGCTTCATTGTGGACTATAAGGGCAGCATCATCAGCAAATAGAAGCTCCCTGATAAGCACCTTTCTAACTTTAATCTTGGCCTTGAGTGGCAACAGTTTGAAGAGTTTTCCATCTGAGCTTGTGTGAAGATACGTTCTACCTTCCATATGGTTAAATGCGGAGTTCAGGAGTACCGAGAAGAAGATTCCAAAGAGCGTAGGGGTAAGAGAACACATCCTTGCTTCACTCCGTTTTTCATTTCAAAGTTGTCCAAAGTGGACCCATCAAACTGAACAGTTGCTTTCAAGTTATTGTGGAGAAACATATAAGACTTAACAGGATTGGTGGGCATCCTATCTTTTCTAGGACTGTAAATAGGCCTGCTCTGCTGACAGTGTCAAATGCTTTGGTTAGATCCACAAAGGCGATGCTCAATGGTTGGTTTTGCTCTCTGCACTTTCTTGAAGTTGACTCAGAGAAAATATCATGTCTATGGTTGATCTTTCAGCCCTAAATCTACACTGAGACTCAGGGTAGACATGACTCACCAGGTGTTGTAGGCGCATCATGATAACCCTTGTGAAAGCTTTTCCTGCTATGCTTAGTGAGATACCTCTGTAGTTGTTGCAGTCACCCTTATCTCCTTTATTTTTATATAAAGTGACGATCACACTGTTTGAGTTTGCATCACACGTGTCTTGTGGTACCTCACCCTCTTTCCCGGCTTTGAGTAACAGCTGATGAAGATATGGTAGTAGGCTTTCTTTCCTGCACTTGAGACTTTCCGTTGGGATACCATCTTTTCCAGGAGCCTTGCCACTTGATAATGAACCAATGGCCTTGCTTAGCTCTTCTACAGTGGGCTCCACGTCTAACTCTAGCATGATCTGTAGAGTTGGTATTTGGTTCAGTGATTTGCTGGTGACGTTCCTTTCTTGTGACTATAGGTCTGAGTAGTGTTCAACCCAACAAGACATCTACTTGTTTCTATCTGTAATGGCTTCACTGCTGAGCCATTTGAGAGGGGCAACCTTGTTGACAGTAGGGCCTAGAGCTTTCTTCAGACTATCATACATGACTTTTAGGGTTTCCCATGTCTGAGGCTGCCTATATCTCATTGCAGAGCTTAGTCCAGTACTGATTTGCGGAGTGTCTGGTTGTTCTCAGTACCTTGTTTTTTGCACATTGAAGTCTTGCTTTGGTGCTCACTGTTGGCTTCTTGTTGTGTTCCAGGTAGGCTGTGTTCTAGATGTTGATAAGAGGTAATAGAGTTCTTCTACAGTTTCTTTAAACCAGTCCTTATTTATTGGTCTCTTTTCCCCAAATGTAGCTTTAGCTGTTGCATAGATTGCAGTTCTTAAACCTTCCCAAATTTCCTCTGACTTCTCTAGTAGTGACTTCCCAAATATGATGAGTTCAAAAGCCTTCACAAACTCTTGACACTTCCTCTGGTTCTTGGTGCTAGTAGTATTGATTGTAGGCTTGCTCCTAGGTTTTGCTCTATGTAGTTTCTTAGCTGTAATCTTCACTTTGCTAATGATCAGGAAGTGGGAAGCCCTCTTGTCTAAACAGGGAAATCCAGTCCTCTTAAGAAAGAAGAAAGAGGCTTATAAACAATGGAAGCTTGGGGCAGGCCCCAAGGAGGACTATTCCATGATGGTCCACATTTGCAGGGAACAGATAAGACAGGCTAAAGTGGCAATTAAACTTAAGATTAGCAACGGGAATCAAGGACAACAAGAATTCCTTCTTTAGGTACATAGGGAACAAGAGGAAAACAAATGGGGCCATTGCTCAACAACTCAGGAGAGCTGGTTACCGGCACCCAGGAAAAAGCTGAACTTCTGAATGACTACTTCGCCTTGGCCTTTCACTGGACCAAGGGGAAAACCACGCCAGGTAGAGTAGAGGATGAGCACGGTAGGAATAATTGCCTTCCTACTATTGCCATAGAATTGGTGTATGACCAATTAATAAAATTAGATGTATACAAGTCAGCAGGACTGGATGCTCTGCATCCGAGAGTGCTGAAGGAGCTGGCTGAAGTCATTGTGGAACCCCTGGCAAAACTCTTCCACAACTTGTGATGCTCTGGAGAAGTCCCTGATGACTGGAAAAGGGCCAATATTGTGCCCATCCACAAGAAGGGCAGGAGGGAGGACCTGGGTAAGCCAATCAGCCTAACTTCCATCCTAGGGAAAATCCTAGAAAAGTTCACCAAGGAGTCTATCTGCAATAAGCTTGCAGAAGGTAAGATTCTGAATGACAGCCAGCATGGCTTCGTTGTGGGCAGGTCTTGCCTTACCAACCTCATCTCCTTTTATGACCAGGTAACTCACCACCTGTACATGAGAGAGAGCAGGTTGACATTGCATACGTAGACTTCTAAGAGGCCTTTGATCTAGTATCGCGCAATGTCCTCACAAGAAAATTGGAGGATTGTGGGCTTAACTCTGAGACAATCAGATGGGTGAGAAACTGGCTGCAAGATAGGACTCAGAGAGTCGTAGTGAATGGATCTGTGTCATCCTGGCAAGAAGTGTGCAGTGGTGGCCCACAGGGGTCGGTGCTTGGTTCAGTACTTTTCAACATTGTTATTAACAATTTGAATGTGGGAGTGAAGAGCTCACTGGCCAAGTTCACGGACGACACCAAGTTATGGGGAAGTGTGGTCACGCTTGAAGATAGGCTACAGTTACAGTCGAACCTAGACAGGCTAGCAAGTTGGGCGGATCAGAACCTGATGGAGTTCAACATTGAGAAATGTAAAGTGCTCCACGTCAGGATGAGCAACCCCCAACACACCTACAGGCTTGGCGGCACCAGACTGACTAGCACCCTGAATGAAAGGGGTCTGGGGGTAATAATAGGCTACAGTATGAATATGAGCTGGGTAGCCAGGAGGGCAAATAATACTATGGCATGCATCAATCGATGCCAAGGAGGTGATTCTTCCACTCTGCTCAGCACTGGTGAGACCACAGCTGGAGTGCTGCATCCAGTTCTGGGCAACACACTTTAACAAGGACGTGGACAAGCTTGAGAGAGCCCAAAGAAGAGCCACCCATATGATCAGAATCTTAAAAGACAAGCCATATGAGGAAAGGCTGAGGAATCTGGGACTTTTCAGCCTGAGGAAAAGAAGGCAGAGAGGGGACCTGGTAGCAGCTTACTACTACACTACGGGAGTACATTAAGGACTCAGTGAGCAACTGTTCACCCGGGCACCCAAGGGGAAAACCAGAAGTAATGGCACAAACTCCTGGAAGATTGATTCAGGCTCAACATTAGGGAAATAGATGCAGGCCTCTGCCCCGCCCACCCCCCGGCACCATTCTACAATTTGCTAGTACATTCAATTTGTTAGTACAAAAAATAATGGTCTTAAACTGCAACAAGGAAAATTTAGGTTGGATAACAGGAAGAACTGTCTAAATATGAGGATGCTTAAGTATTGGAATTCATTACCTAGAGAAGTTATAGAATCCCTATCCTTGGTAGTTTTTAAGGTCAGGTTAGACAAACATTTATCTGAAATGGTTTAGACCAGTAGTTCTCTGCCTTTCTAGACTTGAGGCATCCCTCAACAGACTTGAGGAACCCTTTGATGGACTCAGGCAACCCTCAGAAAATGCTAGCTCTTAATTTTTACTCCTGCTTTGACTACAAAAAATAATAAAGCAATTCCTGTTGCAAAGAACTCAACAGGTTGAAATGCTTTTAACCCTATAGGCCATGTCTAGAGGAGTGCGGCCATGCAGTATGTGGCACCGCAGACATGTCTGTGATGCCACATACTCCATGTTCATTTGTTCTCTGCACTGCAAGGGAGCAACATGAGGGGATTTTTTTACCTCTGGATAGCCAGGGTTGAAAAAAAACTATGGAAAAGGAAGTAGAGGGGAGCATGTGATATCAGTGTGCGCCCCCCAAAGTTGGAGCCTGGCCAGCCAGAGCTGTGCTCTGCTGCCGGCCAGGCTCCATGTGGTAGGATCACCACTGCTGCAGCCACAGGAGGCTCCCAGGATGCCAGGTAAGGCTTCTGGGGCCAGCCCAGTAACGCAAGGGTAACTTGCTGTGTGCTAGAGTGCACATGGCACAGGTGTTCCCCAGAGACAACTAGTGGAGGCACAAGGTATACCGCCGCTAGTTGTCCCCAGGGAACCAAACGTCCATGTACATCTGGACATGGCTATGTATTTCTATTTGATATCTCCAGGTTTTTCCTTATGAATCATGTTTGCAAACATACCAATGTTAAGACTGTGTGACACCCCTGAAAGGATCTCAAGGCACTCCAGGATTTAGAATCACTGCTTAGAGAGTGATAATCCTACCATGACTAGTGGGTTGATGGCCTCCTGAGGTTCTTGCCAGCCATACTTTTCTACAATTCTATGAATATTATGACAATGTGGCAAGTTATCCATGTTGCAATCAGAACTGGATTAGGGCCAATGTTAAGACAAACAGTCTAATGGAGATATAATGGAGAAGGTCATTGCATGGCAGAAACAAATAACCTGATAATACTAGCAAATTGCTCGTCAAGCATGATGGAGGGAGTGGGGGGCGGGCAGGGGCAGAGGCCTGCATTGTTCCCCTGGCCTTGGGTTGGGGTTTGGCTTCCCTCCCTTCCCTGTCTGCTGCTTTGGGCCTGGGTTCGTTCCCTCCCCCACTTCCTTCTGTTGTTTTGGGTCTGGTTCCTCCCTGTGCTTCAGGTGCAGGCCCATGCACCTCCCCCCAACCACCTGCCTCCCAGGATGGGGGGGGGCAGGGGGAGGGGAGCAGCAACAGGCAGCCAGTGGCAGCTGGGGCCAGCAGTGGTGGCCAGTGGGGCTGTCAGCAGGTGGCCGGTGCTGGTGGCGAGTGGCCATGCGCTGCCCCAGGATAATCCCCCCCTTCCCTTCCCCCCTACCTTCCAGCAGTTGTTTCGGGGGCTGCTCCGGCCCCTGGCTCCAAAGAGCAGGGCTGGGGAGGGGGTAGGCCAGCGGCACTGTCCTCGCCCCCCTCTGCATCCCCTCCATTATGGTGGCACTCCAGTTCCCACTGTCCCCCTCTGCTTCCAAGGAGTAGGGCTGAGGGGGTGGTGAGGCCAGCACTACTGGCCTCACCCCCACACCCTGGCCCCTCAATCTCTGCTATCACGGCAGGACTCTGCCGTGTGTCTGTTGGAGCACTCTGATTGACTGCCAAGACAACCAACCAGAGTGCAAATAAAGCATTACAGACAGACAGACTAAGGCTTTTATAATATTAGAATACTCAGGG